AGCAATTATTTGTTATTATTACAGTTTAACATTATAAAATTAACAAAAATAATATAAAACTCATATTCTGGTGAAATAGCCACATGGCAGCCAAAAACCGTATATTCCCTTCTTGTTCTCCCGCCCATTAGTTCATTTTTTTTCAAAAATCGGGACTTTTTAAAAATGCCGTGGGATGCAGGACAAATTGTTGAAAAGTGGGACATCTGGTCACCCAGGAGGCATGTATCTTGTTCCAGGATAGAATTTTATATTTCAAAGGGTCTGGCCCCTGACATTTCCAAAAATACTCATTTAGAAGGAGAGGAACACAACAGCCCTCTTCCCTTTTCGTAAGTTGAGAAAAATTATTTTTCTGTGTCTTAAGCTGTAGCAGGAAACTGATGCAGACAGAAGACTCTAGGCACCAGTTGATTAGAGGAAGCGGGTTTATTCGACCGGGGGTACTTGGAACACCAGCGTGTTTCCCAAAACTGAGCCCCCCCCCCCAATCTCTTGCCTCTCTTTTATCCACCTTTTAGGGCAGGAGTACACGTGAGGGTCATAAAACAGAGAAAGACATGACATCATCCTCAAGGTCCCGGGCTCAAGGGGGAAGGTCAGATTCGCCCGCATCCTTCAGACCGGTTGGACCACTTGCCCTCAAAGGCAACAGAAACCCAAGGAAGTTACTAGGTTACAATCTAGGCCCAGCGTATGTCAAGGAAGAAACATACAGACAACAGAAATGCCTGTGGCTTGGCTGAGGCCTACACAGGGCGGCTAGGACAGATTCTTTCAGTTCTACTTTTACTTTCTTGCCTCAAAGCTTTTAGATGTTTGGTCCTCAAACAGAATCTGGCATTGGTTGTGTTTTCCCAGGGTAAGACCTGGGCCAAGGTGGGCACTGACACAGTGTTACTTACTGTAAGGCAATTAATGAGAAATCCATCTGTCCAGGACACCTCAGGAGGATGTTCAGTGTAAAATGAGTAAAAATGGAGCCTGGCAAAGTGGCTCACACCTATAATCCTAGCACTTTGGGAGAAGGAGAATTTCTTGAGGTGAAGAGTTCAACACCAGCATAAGCAACATAGTGAGACCCCCGTTTCTATAAAAAGTACTGAAAATACTAGCCTGTCATGGTGGTGCATACCTATAGTCCTAGCTACTTGGGAGGCTGAGCCAGGAAAATCACCTGAATCCAGGATTTTGAAGTTGCTGTGAGCTACAATTACACCACTGCACTCTACCTTAGGCAGCAGAACAAGACCTTGTCTAAAAAATTAAAATAAAATAAAAATATGGGAGGCACCAGTAGCTTAGTGAGTAGGGCACCAGCCACATACATCAAGGCTGGTGAGTTTGAACCTGGCTCAGCCAGCTAAAACGACGACAACTACAACAACAACAAAATAGCTGGGTGTTGTGGTGGGCACCTATAGTTCCAACTACTTGGGACGCTGAGGCAAAAGAATCACTTAAGCCCAAAGAGCTGGAGGTTGCTGTGAGCTGTGACATCAGCGTACTCTAACCAGGGCAAAAGCTTGAGACTCTATCTCAAAAAATAAATTAATACTGTTGCTGCGGCCCTGGCCGCCGGCCCGTCCCGGCCGCACGGAGAGGGGCGCGCCCGGGACCCGGCCCCTGGGGGCTGGTGTGGGAACTGCGGATGTCCTCTGCCTCTGCCTGCGGCCAGAACACTCCAGAATGGGCTTCCCGCCTAACTCTGGCTATGAGCGTCGACGAGTTGGGGGTTAGAACATTCTCCATGTCTTTCCTGGAACGTGCCTTTTCTAAAGGCCCTAATCTCTAAACGTGAGCTCCCAGGACTCCACGCTGAAGCGTGGGACCTCAGTTTACCCATAAGCTTCACTTTGCTTCGGACGTTGTGGTTTTGTCTTTGAAGAACTCTGCGACTACTTGTAGGCGCGCAGTCAACTGCAAGGGCAGCGTCTCGTGTTTGTGCGGTGAGGTGGACCTGGATTGTGATTTCAGATCCAAATCTTGTGCGCCTTCTAACTATAGCCAGTTAAAATTTTGAGGCGTCAGTTCCTCCTTGCTGCTTAGGGTGTTTTGAAGCCTAAACGAGGAAATGGAAGATAAAGTGACCAGTCCGGAGAAAGCTGAAGAAGCAAAATTAAAAGCAAGTTATCCTCATCTGGGACAAAAGCCTGGAGGTTCAGATTTCTTAAGGAAACGATTGCAAGAAAGGCAAAAATATTTTGATTCTGGAGATTACAACATGGCAAAAGCAAAAATGAAGAACAAGCAACTTCCTGCCGCAGCCCCAGATAAGACGGAGGTCACTGGTGACCACATTCCCACTCCACAGGACCTTCCTCAACGGAAACCATCCCTTGTTGCTAGCAAACTGGCTGGCTGATTAAAAGAGCTGAACTGCACGAATCCTCTAATTCCCATTATTTCTCCTTAATATGTTACTTATCCTCTTTTTATTTCCTTTCACTAAGTCATTTGAGACTGAAAGCTTTGCAGGTAGCAGTAGTGTGTGCTGCTATTGTAAGGGAATATTACACGTGTAGAGTGTTGATTAGTTTAACAGTGCACTGATGAAAAGGACATGTTAGAGCAACATAAGTAATCTACTTGAAAATAATTGTATATATTACCTAACTACTAGTATAGGGCTGGTTACAACAAGCAAGTTTAACAGTTCTAATGTTTTGGCTTTAATTACTTCATCTTAATTATAGCTTTGTATGTTACTCTTATTTAATATAACTTCTATTGTATTGATTTCTTCTGTATTTACCTTTTGGATTTTGTAAAACAGAAGTTTAAGACCACAAGTTGGAAGTAGGTTACATATTTCAAACACAAATAGATGGGGCTCTGAAAGATTTGTATCTCTGTGCTTAAACTTGAATGGCCTTAAACCTGTTTCAGCTTTAACAGTAACATTTTACTTGGGCAATATTTGCCCTCTCTGGTGTAACTTACATGACTCTAGTGCTTACCAGCTCCCCACGAAGCTAGTATCCTTACTCAGTTCTGTAGTTTCAGAATACCTTTTGTTGAGGATGTGAATGAAGTGTGCATGTGCATCGACTGTTGAATTCACTTTTGTGCCATTTTTGTAAATACAATAGTTTTGCACAACCTCTCACAAATGTCTGTATTAATTTCACACATTAACAAGTAAATGTATACTATCACATGGGCCATTAAAAAGGAAAAGTAAATGTGCCAACCAGAAGCACAAGAGTTCCTACACAAAACTCTGTATGTGATTACAGCTTTTGTATCATAAGAGTAGGTGACAATTTCAGGCTTAGAGAATACCAAACTGAAATCTCTGTTCAGTCTGCCGTAGATAAGCTCTTCATTTGTTACTGGTATTCATGACATTCAGTGGCCTTGTGGAAATACGATATGTTGCTTAGGCATATCTTTTGTCCTATGCAGTACCTTCTGTTTTGACTTTTATGAAAATTACAATTCATGTAATTTATACAAACTTTTTAAATGTAAAAACTTTTTACTTCCACATTCAATTTTGGAGACACTAGAGTAAAAGGCTTCAATACTCTGCCTTCTGTACACCAACACCCATCCCCAACCCCACTTTTTGGTTATTTTTGGGTGCTGCTTTTATTCAAATGGTATTGGGCTGTTTGGTTTTATGGAAGCATAGGATAGGTGTCTGTATTCTCATTCTTGAAATTTGCTCTGCTGAATGCTGTGTTTTATAACACAATAATGGTGTTTTCGTTCTGATTTCTCAGTTAATCACTGTTAATACTTTATTATTACTAATCATTGACAATTGTTTAATAAAAGGAACTTCATAATGAAACAAATAGTTGAGAAGACTGGCCCAGAAACCTATGTTAAGATGAGGTGAATTTTGGTAAATATAAGTAATTATGATGAGTAAGAGAATTAGTCTAGTAACAATTAGAGTGATTTACGTGACAGGTAAAACTTCAACACATTTAAAATATTTAGATCTATAGATATTACTTTACTAAAATACCAATTTAATTTTACTTGTAGTTCATCTAGTTAGAACTTTATCATTCTTCACTGGGACAAGATTATTGCTCTTTAAGGAGCTCTTCCTACAAGTTGTAATGCTGTAGCATGATAATCAGGACCAGGAGCTTGAACTGATACTATTTTTCTCTTCATCTTTGACTTGGATAGAAGCGCCTCCCTTTTTGGGGTCCAGGCATCTTTTCTGGATCTTGGCTCCATTCGTATACGTGCTTTCCTTTGATCCCAAACCATAGTAGATGGTGCCTTGAACATAGCATCTGCACTTAAAGGCTGCCTAGCTAGTGCTCTGAGGAAAGCTTGCTACTTATTTTCCTGCTATACCACCCCAAAAGGCAGAAAAGCAGCAAAATTAGTACTGTATTCATTTGTAATTTTAAGGATAAGTTATATATAAATATATTTGTAGTGAAAGCAAGTAGATGATTCCACAATATGTAGACTCATTATTGAATCAATTTAAGAATTTAAAAATATCCCAAAATAGAGTTTCTGTTAGATCTAGTATTTTGTTTTTTTCCTGAATATTTGCAAGATAGCACCATTAAATTCATAACACAGAAGATTAATCTGAAAGATCAGAGAACACACTATTCCTGACCACTTTAGGACTCCTCCTGTGGTTTGAAACAAGTGACATAACATCTGTTTGATTTTTAGTTTGTAAAATACCCTGCTAATATTTGACCTACCTCAAAACTTGTTGAGGGTCTGTGAAATGTTGAGGAAGTGCCCAGAATAAAATATTATTCTCTTATTATTAAAAGTAAATTTACTCATTAAACCAACCTGCCTTCTGTAAAGTCACAGTGCTTAAGTCTCAGGATTTTTCCTTAGGAAAGAGCTGTCTTTAAGGATTTGTAGGTTTAATTGCTTGGCCTCCATTATTGGTACCTGAGCAAGAGAGGTTTTAGATTTTTCTATTAATGTTTTTCTGCTTCAAAGCTCAATTTATTGAAGACATTATTGAAGGTGATTTGATCCTCATTTGAACGAAAATTTTTGTCTAGTTGAGCTTAATTGTCCATTTCTATGATTTCAAAATTGTCTGAGAAATGGCTAATTTTAATCATTGTCTTGTTTATCATAAATGTTGGAGTAAACCAAAGTTAGAGATAAATCCTTTATGAAAACTGGCTAAAGTCTGAAATAAAATAGGTTTCTTATCCACTAGCTCCTACTTTTTAGATAGTACAGTTTTAAGAAACATTTCATTTTTAGAGGCAACATCTCACTAAAACAATTATAGTTGTTTTATATTTGGATTTGTTTTCATAAATTGGAAGCAGCCTGTGTGTCGTCCACAAGTTCAATAATTTTGTGCTGTTGACCCCAAAATAGATCTTTACTATTCAAGGCAGCCTGGGAAAGGCACTACTCAGTAACTACTTCAGTTGGAATTAGTTGTTCTTTCTACTCGATGAAACAAAATTATACCTCTGAATATTTATGGATGATTTTTCCTAAATCAGACTTGCATTCTTTCTCGGTCCAAATTAGTTCAGTGAAGTTTTATCAAAACTGCAATGTAATACAGTAGTCCCCTTTATCTGCGAAAGATAAAGACCCCTAATGCCTGAAACTTCCGATAGTCCTGATCCTTATGTAGTTAGGTTTTTCTGTCTGACAGCCAAGATGGCCTCTAAGTTACTAATGGGCAGGTAACTTGTATATAGCCTGGATACCCCAAAGGGATGATTCATGTCCTGGGCAGGACAGGGCAGGAAATTTCATTGTGCTACTCAGAATGGCATACAATTTAAAACTTATGAGTTATTTATTTCTGGAATGTTCCATTCAGTATTTTCAGAGTGAAATTGCTATGCATAACAAACCATGGGAAGTGAAACCACAGATAAGGGAAGACTTCTTCTCAAGTAGTGCTCTATAATTGGTATTTGGTGCTCATGAGCAGGTAGACTATGGGAAGAGTACCTCTGAGTGGTAGGTAACCAAAGCAGTTTCTCTGGAGGCCTTTTTCACATTCCCCAACATTCAAATTTGCTTTTCATTTTCGTCCTTTTGTCTGTCTTTGCCTCACACCCCCCATCTCCACTTATTCCTTATGCCCACTGATGGCACTCA